AAGAGTCATGGCCCTGTGGGTGTCCGACTCTAGCTTTCTACTTCTTGACTAGTTTACCACTTTCTTTTTTTAAAGTTTATTCATTACTAGTAGTATTGTTTTCAAATTTGTCCAGAGAGAGACAGGAAAAGTGAGGAAGTAAGCTGCAAGATCCAGGACTCCGAACCATGGTTGGCCATGTGGGAGCCCAGCTGGCCTTAACCACCACGCCACCTGCCAGCTCCACCACTTTTTAAAATCTGGGTAATTCTCGTACTGAGCTTGTTATGAGAACCATGATCCCAAATTCATTTTCATGCAAACTCTTATTTTCGTGCAAAAATTCTTATTTTTTTAAACATTTTTATTTGTTATAGGGCTTATGCGCTCACCAGAGAGAGAGAGAGAGAGAGAGATGAAAAAGTACCCCCAGGAGGGATGGCACACACGTGCTCACATGGGCCTGGACTTGAGCCGTGCAGTAGGCCATGTGCGATCCAGCCACCATGCCACCAACTGGCTCTTAGTCATGAAACAAAAGAAAAGTTTCGTATCTACTTGTAGAGAAAATTTCTTTATACTTCAGTTTGTTCAAAATATATATTTAAGGACATAATTAAATTGGTTACTGTTTGTTTGTGAGCTCATGCAACTTAGAATTCAGACCAGAGTTACTCTGGCAGAACTTGTACTCTTCTCACGGGTAATTTGTATCATTTTTAGGCAAAATGTTTCATGGATTTCAAAGCTGGAGGTACCTTGTGTCACATTCTGGGGGCTGCTTACAAGTACAAAAACGAACAGGGATGGTAAGTCTATATTTTTGCATGTTTTGACATATTTGTTATTGAATGCCAAATCCTGTTCCTTTTGTATGGTACTAAGAGAATTCTGTAATCGTGGTAACTAAGTGCAGTGTACGATGTATATGTTTTATCTAGAGCTCAAATGTATTTCGTTCCTAAGTCTAAAAAACATCAAATCAGATAACTATTGTATTTCCGAGGTGGGTTTTTCATAAGTAAGCGTGTGGACAGTAACAGGAAGGTGTGCATGGTTAGTGAACTAGAAGGTGGGCCTGCCGGGAGACACGTCAGTATCACAGACCCAGAATGTGCTGTCGTCAAAGCCGATAGTTTCTGTGAGAGAGAGAGGGCGTGTGCAGTCCTCACAGAGACAGGGGAGCAAGCGCTCGCTCCAGCCTCGGGGGGAAGGTCAGGCTGCACTCCCTTCTTCCTTTCTCCTTTTGGGATCTTAGGCACACGTGCACCCTTGCCTAGTGTGGTTCTTAAGCCACTGGGTCTGGGATTCATACTGCACTGTCAGTGACGTGGGATCCAGCTGCCTTAGCCCCAGGCCATGGAGCTGGCCCACTGCTGGCAGTTTTAACTGAGCTAAGTCTTCAGGCCGTCCAGCCTGCCCTCCTTGGGACATGGATGCAAGGAACCTGGCTCAGAGATGGACAGGTCGTTCTAGCCCGTGTGGAGACAGGTTGGAATCCCTGCCGCTGTCCCGCAGTTGTGCTTCCCTGCCCTCGTGAGCCCATTCCCATTTCTAGCCTTGTCTCTTTGTGCTCTTTCTTCTTTTTCTTTCTTTTTTTTAAAAGAATTATTTTATTTAACTTTGTTTATTTGTTTGCTTACTTATTTAAATTTGACCAGAGAGGGACAGAGTGAGAGAGGAAAAGTGAGAAAGCAAGCCCCTCGGTCCAGGACTCGAACCCTGTCGGCCATGGGGGAGTGTCCAGTGGCTTAACCACCACGCCACCTGCTGGCCCCTTTTCTTTCTTGAACTCTAGGACCTCTTTCTTTTTCTTTTTTTTTTTTTTTTAATTATTTTATTTAACTTTATTTATTCATTCATTTATTTATTTCAATTTGACCAGAGAGGGATAGATAGAGAGAGAAGAGAGCAAGCTGCCAGCTTCAGGACTCGAACCGTAGTCAGCCATGTGGGACTCCAGCACCCCCAGCCACCAAGCCACCTGTCAGCCCCCTCTAGGACCTCTTTCTCAAGGGAGTTCAGCTGCTGGGACCAGCAGATGGCGTAATGTTTAGGTCACTGGACTCCTGTATGGCTGACTGCAGTTCGAGTCCTGGACCCAGTGTCTTGAAACTTAGGCTGGACATGGGTGCATGTGTGCCCAGAACCCCGAGAGGAGAAGGGATTGTGTTGTGGCCAACCTCCCGGGGGTGATTTCACTTTTTTCTCTGTCTCTCTGGTAAGTGCACACGTCCTAGACAAAAGTCTCTCTTTGAAAATTTTTTTTTCTGAGACTAGCAGGTGTTCAGGGCTGGTAAGGGTGGTCTTGCCAGACTGTGATGGGGAGCTAGAGTACACGGGCTTGCAGTACTTGTAGTTTCAGCTTGGTCATGTCTGTGTACTTTATAACCTTAGCATCTTTCCAGAACACACATATAATTTTAAAAAATAATTATTTAATTTTATTCTTTTTTTTTTTTTTTTTTTTTTTTTTTTGAAAAAAGAGAGGGGGAAAGAGAAAAAAATCAGGACTTGAACCATGGTCGGGCATATGGGAGTGTCCAGTGCCTTAACCACCACGCCTCCTGCTGGCTCCGCACATGCAATTTGTATAGTTTAAAAATTAAGTGTGGGGCTGGCAGGTGGTCTGATGGTTAAAGGTGCTGGACTCCCACATGGCTGCCCACAGTTCAAGTCCTGGACCTGGAGGCTTGCTTTCTCACTTTATGTCTGTCTGTCTCTCTCTCTCTCGTCAAGTAAATAAATTAAATAAGGCTAAATTAAAAAAAAAAATAGTTAAGCTAAGTGGGCCGGTAGGTAGTGTGGAGGTTAAAGCTGCTGGATTCCACATGATCAACTGCACGGTTCTAGTCCCAGACCCAGTGGCTTGAAAAACACACCTGGCGCATGTGCACGTGTGTCCAAAATCCTAAGAGCAGAAGGGATGACAGTGTGGCCATCACGGGCGATGTTTTTTTTCTTTTTCTCTCTCTGAAACGTGCATGTGCCTATAAAACTGGAAGAAAAACCAAAGCTAATCAGTGCTTTATAGCTAGTGAGTATAACTATTTGGATCCTGAAGTAGGACAAGTCTGTATGATTTATTGATAGGGATCCAGGCTTACATGTGTCTCTGTCTGAGGTCTCCACATGTGGCTGTGTGTTTACTAGCTACTGTCAAGTTGCTTGAATGAGCATGAGAGTTGTGATCCAAGGTGGCTTCTTGCTTCTTCATCCCCTGCCCAGCTCTGGGCTAGTACCTCCCCAGGGTATCTTTGAATCTGGGATCAAGGGCATGCCTGAGTATGTCGGGATGTAGCTCGGGACTCCCGCAGGAATGGTTTCTTTAATTACGTCAGTGATCAGCCTGCTGCATCCCAAGAAAGACATAGAGAGACAGAGAGACAGAAAGAGAGAAATCACCCCCCAGGGGAGATGGCCACACCGCAATCCCTTCTCCTCCATTCTCCTCTCAGGATCTTGGGCACACACACACATGCGCCTGGTGTGAGTTTAAGCCACTGGGTCCGGGACTTGAACCGTGGTCGACTACATGGGAGTCTTGCGACATAGCCGTTACACTAACTGCTGGTCCCATTTTTATTTTCTGATGTGTACAAGTAAGTTAGAAACAGAAAAACAATTCCGTTGTATCTTAAGACTTGGTTGTTTAGGTTTTATTCATTTATTTATTTTCTTGAATTTTATCAGGGGGTGCTTATGCTCACAGCAGAGAGAGAGGGACAAGGAGAGGGAGAAAGTGAGATAACCCTCCCCAAGGAGGGTGGCCATAAAATCCCTTCTCCTCTATTCTCTTTTTGGGATTTTGGGCGTGCACACACACTCGCCCAGCAAGTTTATCAAGCCGCTGGGTCTGGGATCCATGTGGGATCCACCCACGTTCCCTACCACATTACCAGCAGGCCCTGACCTTATTTATAATAGCTCATACCATAAAAAGCAAAACTTATTTAAATATTCGTAGTCCTTTCAAAGTAGGTCAAATAAAATCTTTTGACTGAAAGTTATACCATATTTGCTTGAATTCCTCATTTAAATTTTTCTTAACATTCGCCCTGTGCACAGTTGGAATCCTGGTTCTGGTGGCTTCATACACACCTGGAGCCACGTGCATGCATGCCTGGAATCGGGAATGAGGGGAAGAGGATTGCACCATGACCAACCCCGGTGGTGCTGCTCGCTCCCTCTCTCCTCTCTCTGTCTCTCGTGAGTGCACATGTGCTCTCGCGGCTAAAACAACAGCAAACTCTCTTGCTGAGGTAGCATACTGTGAATCAGGAAACTCGAGTTTGCCATACTACTTACTTATTTGTAATTACCGGCGGGGGCTTGCACCGACCAGATTTGAACTGCAGGCGGCCCTGTGGGATCTGCCCCCTTTGCACAGGGCTTAGTTGCTGTGCTCTGGGTCCAGCTCTCATGAGTGCTTCTTTATATCTTGTTTGAATCAGTATCTAAGCAAGTTTCCTGTATTGAAATTGACCTATATGACTTTAAGTCTTATTTAAAAAAAGTAGTTTTTGGGACCAGCAATGGGCATAATGGCTATGTTGCTGGACTCCCATGTAGTCGACCGCAGTTCAAGTCCCGGATCTGGTGACTTAAACCCACGCCAGGTGCGCGTGCATGCGTGCCTGCCCAAGATCCCGAGAGGAGAATGGAGGGGAAGGGATTATTACAGCACAGCACTTGTGTTGCCATGTTACGTAGTTTCATAGAAGAGAAGTGACTCTGTGCCATGTCAGCTTTGTCAATAAAGCACTGCGTGTTGGTCCACCTCTGGCCTAGATGGTAAGGGAGCTGGATTCACTCATGGCCAGCCATGGTTTGATTCCTGGCCATGGCAGCTGGTAAAACATACCACGTACAATTTGCCCACGCCCAAATCTGGATGAATCGGAGAAGAGATTGCAGCATGGCCACACCTTGTTTCTCCCTTTCTGTCCCTCCCCTCTCCCTCTTGTGAATGCCTGCCCCTCTGTGTATTTACAGCGCTTATCTTACAGCCCAGCATGCTCTCCTTTGTGTGTGAGAGAACGTTGTTGAATTTGAACAGGTGGTTTTCAGGTACATGTAAAGCAGATAGGCTTCCTGTATACCTGAAGCATGCTGCGATGTGGTTTGGATCTGTGGGCCACCTTTCTGTAAGGTCTACCATTCCCTAGGTGTGATGAATGGGAGGTAGTTCTTGGAACTGGTGCGTCATTTTGACTTGACTGGGATGGGTTTGTTTGTGTTTTTTTTGGAGAGGTTTTTGCCATAGGGCGCTCGCCAGACAGACAGAGAGAGACAGAGAGACAGAAAGCAAGAAATCACCCCCCAGGGGGAATGGCCACGCTGCAGTCCCTTCTCCATTCTCCTCTCGGGATCTTGGGCATGCACACACTCACGCCCAGCGTTGAGTTTTAAGCCACTTGGTCCGGGATGCGAACTGCGGTCGACTACATGGGAGTCCAGCGACATGGCCGTTACGCTAACTGCTGGTCCTGGGTTTGTTTGTTTTTTTAAAGTTTTCTTTATTAGAAAGAGTGACAGGGTGGGCAGGTGTCATGGTGGTTAAGGGTGCTGGACTCCCACATGGTTCACTACGGTTCCAATCCCAGACCTGGTGTCTTGCTTTGTCACTACTCCCTGCCGCCCCAGCCATTCTGCCCCTCTCTGATCCAATCAAAATAAATAAAGTTGAATAAGATAGTACTTAAAAAGAGTCAGAGAGAGTCATAGGCACCCAGACAGGGTTTTCAAAAATTAAAGTTTTAAAGTAATTATTTATTTAGTTTTATTACTATTTTAAAGAATAACTTTATTTAACTTTATTTATTTATTTTCATTTAACCAGAGAGAGATATATAGAGAAAGTGAGAAAGCAAGCCGCCAGGTCCGGGGCTCAAACCGCGGTTGGGAGTCCAGCGCTTTTAACCACCACACCATCTGCAAGCCCCTATTATAATATTTTAATTTGCTGTAGGACACATACGCTCGCCAGAGAGAGTGAGTGAGAAAGTGAGAAAGCAAGCTACCAGGTCTGGGACTCAAACCACTGTCGGCCGTGTGGGAGTCCAGCTCCTTGACTTCATGCTGACAGGTCTTAGCACACCGGATCCTCTTATCCCAGCCTGCCAGGACATAGGTATACTCTGATACACCCAGTGTGTTCAGGGTGGCCTGGGCCCTGAACACAGGCCCCCCGTGTGACTGCAGCATCACCTAGCGGTGCCCCACTACTCGTGCAACTGCAGCTGGTCCTGGTAGATGTCAGCATTCTCTCTCATGAAGGTGTTGGCACTGTACATTCTTAGAATAGTGAGAAAACACCCTCAGACATTTTACGGAGTACTATTTTAGTTTTCAAAGCTTTGTGATTCATTTGCACTGACAAGTTTCCACTCGGCTTAAGGTGGGAGACAAATTAATGATTTCCTTCTCTTTTAGGCGTAGGTTTGACCTACAGAATCCGTCCCGAATGGATCGTAATGTTGAAATGTTTATGAACATTGAGAAAACATTGGTGCAGGTAACTCAGAAGGTTACATTTTTAAAAATTCCATTCGTTAATCCTCTTTTAGTTCCAGTGTTGGCTTGGTTGATTACCAAAGGCAAAGGGGGACTGTGGTTTCTCGTTTGTATCCCTGCTGAGGTAGCCTGTGGCGATTTCTTGGCTGACCTCACCCAGCCTGCTGGTGATCAGCCTTCGTTTTGTTCAGTACAAGCAGTTGCTCATTCTGTTATTTTCTTTTTTTTTTTTTTCAAGAATTATTTTTATTTAACTTTATTTATTTTAATTTGGCCAGAGAGGGACAGAGTGAGAGAGAGAGAGTGAGAAAGCAAGCTGCCAGGTCCAGGACTCGAACTATGGTCAATCATGTGGAAATCCAGTGCCTTTAACCACTACGCCACCTGCCGGACCCAATTATTTTTTTTTTTAATTTCACTGGGTGGCCAGGGCAGTGAGGAAGCAAGCCACCAGGTCTGGTACTTGAACCACAGCCAGCCTTGTGGGAGTCTAGTACTTTAACCACCATGCCACCTGCCAGCCCCTCTTTTTACTTTTTTAAAGTCTTTGTGCTATAAGGCACATGGGCTCATCAGAGAGAGGGTAGGAAATAGAGAAATGACCATTATGCCCCTGGGGAATGGCCATGACATAATCCCTTCTTCATTCTTTTCTCAGGATTTTAGGCACATAACATACGTGCGCCAGATATGTTTTCCAGACCACTGGGTCTGGGCTGAGACCATGGTTGACCATGTGGGAGTCCAGAGCATTAACCACCATGCCTCCTGCTGGCCCTTTGATTTCTAAAATTATTGTGAGGGAGCATGTGTGCTGGGCACAGAAGAAAAAGAGGGAGGAAGCTCCTCCCAGTGGGCACGGTCATACTGCCTTCCCTGTCTGCTCCTTCATCCCGTTGGCTTTGGGACATACACGCACACACGTGCCCAGAGCGCTAGTCGAGCTGCTGAGGCCAGGGTTTGAGCTATCTCCCTTAACCACTGCTGCAGGGCTGGCCTAGTCATTGCTATTTATAAGATTAGAAATGGGGAAAAAAAGAACTATATTTCCCTTGTAAGTGAAAGATGTAGGTGAAAACACTGCTTTAGACTGCTACGGTGAATTCAGGTGAGACGCTGGGAGGGTAACCTGGCAGTGCAGAGATACGGTGCAGTAGCTGAACAGTGGCGGAGTTTACTGAGGTTATGGCGCCACCTTTCTGGTCCAGCTGGAAGCACTGCAGGGAAGCAGCCTGGGCGGTTTTAATGGCCTGTTGAACACCGAGGTCTTATTCTGTGATAAACTTAGATTCTATGTCATAGGACACAGTTCCAATTGAAAAAGCATGGCTTCAAGTGCCAGTTTTTGCCAGTAGGGTAATGCGTAAATAATGTGACCTTATTTCAAGACCAAGATGTTTCAGAGTCTGCTCTTTCTTCCTCAGAATAATTGTCTGTCCAGACCCAACATCTACCTCATTCCAGACATCGATCTGAAATTGGCCAACAAATTGAAAGATATCATCAAACGACATCAGGTAATAGACAAGATCACTTCAGAAGCATTGTGTGAAAGTAGTAAGCCTCAAAGTAAAAAAGAAAACTAAATGAAGGAAAAAACCCAGAAAACAAAGTAGCGTTTAATAGATGTCAGTAATTATATCTTCACGTTTATGTATTTGCATTAAATAAAATGTTCTCTTTTTGGGTTCTTATAGCACCAGGTTTTTTCCTGTCTCCCAATTTTTAGCCTAACGTATCTTTTTGTTTGTTTTTGGAGAGGTTTTTGGTACAGGGTGCGTGCGCTTGCCTGAGAGACAGAAAGCGAGAAATCACCCCCCAGGAGGGAGGGCCACTCCGCAGTCCCTTCTCCTCCATTCTCCTCTCGGGATCTTGGGCACGCACGCACACGCGCCTGGCGTTAGTTCAAGCCACCGGGTCTGGGACACGAACCGTGGTTGACTACATGGGAGTCTAGTGACATAGCCATTACGCTAACTGCTGGTCCCTTAACGTATCATTTAATAAAGCTACTGATTTGGAGGCATTGTAGTCTTATTATGGGAAGTGTCCTGAATGTAGAATTACAGAGACCAGTGTGTTCTGTATCTGAACATCAGAGATTCGAAAAGTGGAAGATAGTTGGTGATAACAGTTGTTGCAGATTTTACTTGGAGTAAATCCACCCCTTCTCCGGTTACTTGTATTATTTTTATATTTGTGGTTTGAGGAAAACATTTTTAAAAAATCTACTTTCCTCATACACCTTGACTCTTATACTGGTGTCTGCTGATTTTGTAACCTCACTCCTGTAACTGCGTGTCGGGTTGTGATTACTCGTTGCTGAGCTGTAACCAGAGCTAGGACATGGTAAATTAGCTGGCAGGGTCCAGATAGAAGGTAATTGAAATAGTGCTATTTTTAAGGATTTTGCCATAGGGTGCACATATGTGCAGAGGTAGACAGAGGCAATGAGGAGGAAAGTGAGAAATCACCCCCCGGGGAGGATGGCCATGCAGCAGTCCCTTCACCTGCATTTTCTTCTTGGGATGTTGTTTATGCATGCACCCGTGCCTGGCATAAGTCTCAACTCACCAGGTTCAGGACTTGAACTGCGGTTGCCCATACGGGAGCCCAGTCATCTAACTGCTGTGCCATCTGCCAGCCCTGAGAGTGAATGTTTCTAGTATCGCTTACCATTATGTGGGTTTAGTGCAGTTTTTCTCTGACGTGTGCCATCACAGCGAGCAAGAAAGGAGGTATAACGGGCGGTGTCAGTTCAGGGAGTCTGAGGTCCTTTCCCTCTCCCCGGTATCTCGGTGCCAGATGGGTCACCTAGCCTTTTCTCTTCGGGTACCTGCTTGTTGGAGTGACCAAGTGTAGCTTAATCCCACGCAGAAATGGGGCAAGTTAACTTGCTGGTCCTGCCTCCGAGCTGAAATGACTTGTTCCTATTACTGCCAAATCATGCTGCACGTTCCTACTGTTCATGCTGAATGTTTCACTGTCGTTCCTTATCCTGTGTAAACTTTTTATGACTCTGTGTGCAAGACAGCGAGATGCAGCCCATCTGCAGGGTTTCTCATGCAGTGATTCCTTCTTTCCAGCCTTTAAGCTTTCCCGGAGCTTGGGTGTCCCCAGAACAGCCTGCTCTCAGGGCAGCCGAGGGATCTGGGCTTGTAGTGGAGTGTGACTGCCAGCACTCTGGTCCAGTGGGGTACACACTGTGCCGCCAGGCTGGGCTGTGCTTCACAAGTCTGAGTTAGCGATCATTTTCAAGGAGTGCTCCTCAGAGCGTTGTAGCAGTCTGACTGACTTGTAGAATCTTAGGTCAGAGATCTTAAGAGCTATTAATAGTTCCGCCATTGGGGCCAGCAGGTGGCTTGGTGGTTAAGGGCGCTGGGCTCCCACATGGCCGACTGTGGTTCGAGTCCTGGACCTGACGGCTTGCTTTTTCCTTTTCTCTCACTCTGTCCCTCCCTGGTCAAATTAAAATAAATAAATAAAATAAAGTTAAGATAATTCTTTTTTTTTTTTTAAGTGGTTTTTGCTATTGGGTGCGTGCGCTCGCCCGACAGAGAGATAGGAAGCAAGAAATTACCCCCCAGAGGGGATGGCCACGCCGCAATCCCTTCTCCTCCATTCTCCTCTTGGGATCTTGGGCACGCACGCACACGCGCCTGGCGTGAGTTTTAAGCCACTGGGTCCGGGATGTGAACCACGGTTGACTACATGGGAGTCCAGCAACATAGCCATTATGCTAACTGCTGGTCCCCTAAGTTAAGATACTTCTTTTTAAAAAAATGGTTCTGTCATTGTTGAACACTGACAGGTCTCTACTCAAGCTTTGTTATTGTTTGTTTGTTTAATTTAGGTTTTTGCTATAGTGCACGGGTGCTCACCAGAGAGAGAGAGAGAGATGAAGAGAGGGAAAGTGAGAAGTCATCCCCCAGGGGAGATGGCCATTCTGCAGTCCCTTCTCCATTCTCCTCTAGGGATTTTGGGCACACACGTACATGCACCCAGTGTGAGATTCAAGTTAGGCCACTTTGGAGTCCAGTGCCCCACCAGTATGCCCCCCGCTGGCCCTACACTCAAGTATTTTAAATGTGTTAACAACTCACATTGATTGAGCACTTACGTGTGTCTGTCATTATTCTTAGCTCACTGCTCTTCACTCGGTCCTAGTAGAATTCTAGAGATGAGGGATCATCATTCTCTTTCCATTTCACGGGAGAGACCAAAGCACAAGAAAACTCCTCCCATCTCATGCAAGGAGCAGATGGGGCAGGTGGAGCTCACGTGGGCCCGGGTGGTGGACCACCACCCACCTGCTCGTCCTGGTGTTTTCAGTGTTGCTGTTGTTAATCATTGTCCCCTTCGTTGGCTAAAAATAAATATGTTGTCTTAAAATATAAAGAAAACAGTGCTTTTACAAATTTTGCAGATTTTGTATCTCACATCTGTCGTGTGTTTTACTTCGATGTGTGTTTATATGCTTCCCAGGGGACATTCACTGATGAAAAGTCAAAAGCGTCTCATCACGTTTATCCGTATCCTTCCCCACAAGAAGATGGTAAGTTAGTTTTGGCTTTGGAACTGACACACCCTTACATTGCATAACACGGGCTTTCTGTCTTATCGGCAGAGGTTTAAACAGTCTTTCACTAAAGAGTATGTTTAATACCTTTTAAGATTTTCGTGGGCTATCCAGATATATAGTGCTCTGTTTCCTTTAGCGAGTTACGTCTTTCTTCCTTAGTTGAACTAATAAACTAATCTCGTGCCATCCAACTTCATAATCATTAGGCTTCTTTGTTGGTACTCATTATCTTAAGGCGTGTATTAGCTGCATGTTTCTAAAGTATATTTTCAGAGACAGAAAGAAGAGGGCAGCACCCTGCACCTGTGTCGGGTGGGTGGGTTTTGGGTGTGCGCGCACATGCCCAGCGTGTTTTTTAGGTGGCTGGGTCCAGGACTCAGATGGTGCCGTTGGCTGTGTGCGATCTAGCCTTAGCCGTACAGCATTGGCTGGCCCTGTGTAATCCTTCCTAAAGTGAGAAGCCCGACCTCCCATCAGTTGCTCCTAGTCCCTTGGTGTATTTCCTAATGTCCTTCTGGGTAGTAGCGACTGAGTTCCACTAGATGGGAGTGGTGTGTAGCTGTGCGGTTTGGAATTCCGATTCCGCTGCTAGCTGTTTCCAGTATGACTGGTGTAAAACTTTTATGTGCTGAACTTTGTGAAACAATGACATTTATTTATTTATTTGTTTGTTTGTTTATTTATTTTTAGTAAAGGTTTTTGTCTTAGGGCATGTGAACTTGTGGGAGGGACAGAGATAGAGATCATGAGAAATCACTCCCCAGGAGGGATGGCCATGCCACAGCCCCTTTTCCTCCATTCTCCATCTGGGATCTTGGGTGCAGGCGCACGCACATGGTGTGACATTGAAACCACCTGCTATGGAACTCAAGCCATGGTTGGCCACTTGGGAGTGTCCGGCTCCTTAACTACCACGCCACCTGCTCGCCCCATAATGTTATCGATCTTAATCATTGTAATTGAGCATCAGTAGTAACCGCAGCTCAGATAAAAAGTCAGAGGCCGGCCGTAATCTGGTGTACCTGGTTGATCCCATCTTAAAATTTTTTGTTTTTGATCATTAACAAACCAAAAACACATTGGTAGAAATTAAATATAGATTATAGTTGACTCGGTTATTCTGTCAGCCTGACTTAGGCTTTCTGTTCTTTCAGAGGACTGGTTGAGGCCGGTGATGAGGAAAGACAAGCAGGTGCTAGTCCACTGGGGCTGCTACCCCGACAGGTAAGGCTGGCGTGCCGGGGGCGGGCGTGCCGGGGGCGGGCGTGGGGGATCGCGCCAAACAGGTGAGCCCTATATGTACATGTCCACTTCTTATATACTGATAGCTTTGCTGACTCGTTAGTCATCATGACTTCATTACGTCTTTTTCCTTCATTTTTATAATGTTTGATTTCAGATTGAGTCTTTTATCAACTATTTTCTTAATTAAGTTATATAATTCAGTGAAGTCAAATGACTGAAATAGCTGGCTTTGGCGTCTGCCAAGAGTCTTAAGTATGGTCATTAGACTGTGAGTTTGATTCATTTCCTTCAGGAAATCAATTTTTATCCCTAGTGTTTATGACTGTCTGGTTTTGTTATCAGAAATATTTGTGCCAAAGTACTATGGGTGGACTGATGTCCAAAATGAAGTTTTTCTTGTCACGGGAAGTTGATTGACCTAGCGGTGGTGCTGCCTCTATGTGTCCTCTGACCGTGTGTCTGTGTGTTATAATGGAGATCAGTGTAAAGAAGAGTCGGATGTGGCGGTCTCTGTCGGATGCTGTGCCTGTGTGGAGCACGCAGGAATCGGGGAGGAGCCGGGTGTGGCGGTCTCTGTGGGGCACGCAGGAATCGGGGAGGAGCCGGGTGTGGCGGGCGGTCTCTGTCGGATGCTGTGCCTGTGTGGGGCATGCGGGAATCGAGGACTTTGCCTGAGCTCTGCTTCTCTACCCGACAGGAAAGCCACTATGGTTTCGATTTCATCCTTGTCATGTCACTTGCATGTTCTCTTCACTGTGGGTTTTTCAGGGTGTGAGGAAACTGACCAGAGTCAGGCTGTCTGTCTGGCTAATAAAATCGACTCTGTGCTAACACGTATGTAGATCTGTGTGTCCCAAGTGTGTGTGAGCAGTGGGAGTGACATGGACTGCCTTAGTCTGCCACAAGATCGCGCTGGTTGCTCTGTGAACATTGGGCTCTGAGAGGGCCTGGGCAGAAGGAGGGAAGCCTGGGGGAGAGAGAGGAGGGAATAAGAAGTGGGTAGATTGTGAATGTACTTTTGAAGTGGAGATGGTAGATTTCGTGATAGTAGAACATCCTTGAGAGTGAAGTCAAGGATATGTCCGAGGGTTTTGGCCTGAACAGCCGGAAAGATGGGGTTGGCATTTGTTTGGACGTGGACGGTTGACTAGAGTGCACGATTGGGGTCAGAGTGCCATTGGAAGGTGAACTTTGAGTGTGTAGGTTTGGAATGCTTGTTAGACATTTAAGAGGAGTTGTGGAATTGGCTTTTAGCGTAATGAGTTCAGAGTTCAAAGAAGAGAGCAGATGAAAAATTTTTAGTTGTCAGTATATTTTTGAGAAGGACTTAAAAAAACTTCATAGGGGCCAGCAGGTGTTGTAGAGGTTGAGGTGGCTAAATCCCATGTGGCCAACTGCATGGTTCGAGTCCTGGACCCCAGCGGCTTGAAAATCACACCAGGCGCATGTACGTGCATGCATTCTCCCCACTCCCAAAATAAAACTATTTTATTTAGAGGAGAGGCAGCCACCCTCAACAGGGTCTTGTCTTATCTCCATTGCTCTCTCTTTCTTTTTTTTTTTTTTAAGAATTATTTTATTTGACTTTATTTATTATTTTTTTATTTGACCAGAGAGGGAGAAAGTGAGAGTGAGAAAGCAAGACACCAGGTCCAGGACTTGACCCACAGTCGGCCATGTGGGAATCTAGCCTCCTTAACCACCACGCCACCTGCTGGCTCCCCATTGTCCTCTTTTGACCGCCTCAGTCAGTCACGGCTTTGGGTGCTCACTCTCCTCGTGTCTTGGGTCATCTGAATTAGAACCTGCTAGTGGCCATGTGGTGTCCAGCACTGCACGTCGGTGTGCTGCCAGGGGCTGTCACATCTGAGCCAGTTCTTGGTGCACATTTAAATTCATAGACTGAATGGGGTCGTTTAAAAAAAGAGAATTGTTCCAAAAATTAGACCCTGGAAAGTTGGAATGCTGAAGAGGTTGGCAGCTTGATAAAAACCAGGTGCATGTGTTTGTGTGCCCAGAGCCCCAGCAGGGGGAGAATGGAGACGGGATTGTGGCATGACCACCGTTTCTCTCTCTGTCTCTGAGCGCATGCATCCTATGGCAAAAACCTTTAAAAAGTAAGAAATTCTGGAGAGTGACTCTTGAACTTTGGGTCTAGCAACCTGAAGGATACTGGTGACCTCTGCAGAGGAGTTTTCTCCATAGAAGGACATACACAAAGCGAATGATTCGCTTGCTATTACTGAATCCTAATGGTATTTCTGAAATGTTCTCTCTGTTGGATAAAAGTCATTCTGGTGAGTGAACTTCGATTCTGATTTGTTTGTCCTTTCCTCGTTTCCTTTCTAGCTATGATACTTGGGTCCATAGTAATGATGTTGATGCTGAAATTGAAGATCCACCCATTCCAGAAAAGCCATGGAAGGTGATTGATTTTTTATTTTATTTATTTATTTATTTATTTATTTTTTGCAATATGGTGTATGTGCTCACCAAAGAGACAGAAAGCAAGAAATTCCCGCCTAGGGGTATGGCCGCACAGCAGTCCCTTCTCCAGTCTCCTCAGGATTTGGGGCATGCACAGGTGCTGGATGTTAGTTGTCAGACCTCTTCATTGTCTTTGAATCAAGGGCCCTCTGCAGCCTTTCTTCATGGTGACAGGGCAGGCAGTTTTGAAGCGTGTGGGCTAGTAGGTTTTGGAGTACCTCTGCATTTGAGTGTTTCCTCATTCTATTCTAGCAGGAGTACTGCAGAGGTAATACTGTGTCCTCCGCCGTGCGTCCCATCAGGAGGCACATACTCCTAAACTTAATACAAATTTTAAAAAGTACTTATTTTAATGGGGCTGGCAAGTGGCATGGTAGTTAAGGTGCCAAACTCCCACATGGCTGACCACGATTCAAGCTGGGAACCTGGCAGCTCTCTCTCAAAGAATAATAATTAACAAAAAATTAAATAATACTTTAAAAAATAATTCAATTTTACTTATTGTCATTATTACTGTTAATTAGTTTGCCATTGGGCATATGTGCTCAACAGAGAGAGATAGAAAGTGAGAAGGCAAGCCACCAATAGGTCCAGAACTTGAACCATGGCTGGTCATGTGGGAGTCCAATGCCTTAACCACCATGCCACCTCCTGGCCCCCAGGTAGAATTTTTTAAGAATAAGAAATTTTCAGGATCAGCAGATCCTGTAATGGTTACATTGCTGGACTCCTACGTAGTTGACTGTGGTTTGAGTCCTGGATCTGGCTGCTTAAAACTCATTATGGATGGTCAGCTACATGGGAGTCCAGCCCAGGTGCATTAAAAACTCAAGCCATGTGCGTGTGTGCCCAAAATCCCAGGAAGAGAATGGAGGAGAAGGGATTGAAATGTGGCCATCCTCACTAGGGGGTGATTTCTTGCTTTCTGTCTCTGTCTCTGATGAGTGCACACGCCCTATAGCAAAAATCTCTCAAAAAAAAAACACACCAGATGCATGTGCATGCATGCCCAAATTCCTGAGAAGAGAATGGAGAAGGGATTGCAGCATGACCGTCCCTCCAGGGAGTGCTTTCTAGCTTTCTGTCTCGGTCTCTCTGGTGGACACATGTACCCTATAGCAAAAAAATCTCTCTTAAAAAAATAAGAAATTTGGGAACCAGCAGTTAGCGTAATGGCTATGTCGCTGGACTCCCACGTAGTCGACTGCGGTTCGCGTCCCGGACCCGGTGGCTTTGAACTCATGCCGGGCGCGTGTGCGTGCGTGCCCAGGGTCCCAGGAGGAGAATGGAGGAGAAGGGATTGTGGCGTGACCATCCCCCCTGGGGGGTGATTTCTCATTTTCTGTCTCTATGTCTCTGTCTGGCGAGCACACGTGCCCTATAGCAAAAACCTCTTAAAAGTAAAGAAAAAAAAATAAGAAATTTGAAGCTGACCTGTGGCCTGGTGATTGAGGGAGCTGGATCCCACATGGCAAACCATGTGGCTTGCGTTCCTGCCCTGGCAGCTTGAAGAACATGCTGGGGGTGTGGGTGTGTGCCCAAGGTTCCAGTGGGATGGAGAGGTGGAGGGGCAGAGGCGGTGCGGCCACACCCTGTCAGTGGTGCTTTCTCCCTCGCCCTGTGTCTGTGCCCCTGTGATGAGTACATGTTGTCCTGGCAAGTAGAAAAGGAAAAGCAAAGCACATCCCGGTACACGAGGAGTGGGAGACTGCGCCTGGCGAGGGGGCGTGGTCCCTGCACAGTCCCTCTTCATTTCTCCCTCCTTGATTCTTCGATCCTTCATTTTTATCCAGTCCCCTGTCAATGTTCCAGTTTTGCCACTCACTGCAGTGTCTTACAGCACGTTTTTCTTTCTGACGCAGGATCCTGTCTACTACCAGTTCTGGATCTATCACCGTCTTTAGTTTCCTTTATTTCTTGTTCTTCCTTCTTTTGGCTAAAGGGCATATGCGTTTACCATAGTGACAAAACGGGAGAGAAAGTACCTGCCAGTGGGGCTTGGTCACACCACAGTCCTTTCTCCTCCGTTTTCCGTCCCGTCAGGACTTTGTGCACACGTACATGCACCCGCACGCAGCCTGGTTTTCACACTGTATGAACTGGGTTTGTTTTCTTTTTTGGAGGTTTTTGCTGTAAGATGCGTGCGCTCACCAAAAAGAGACAGAAAGCGAGAAGTCACCCCCCCCCCCCGGGGGGGGTGGCCACACGGCAATCCCTTCTCCTCCATTTTCCTCTCGGGATCTTGGGCACGCACGCACACGTGCCTGGCGTGAGCTTAAGCCACTGGGTCAGGCCTCAAACGCGGTTGACTACATGGGAGTCCAGTGACATAGCCATTGCGCCAACTGCTGGTCCCGGGACTGGGATTTGATCCGCAGTTGACAGTGTGCTATCCAGCTTGCTTAACTATTGAGCTGCTAGCCTGGCCCTGTTTAGTTTCCTTTTTTTTTTTTTGGGAGAGATTTTCACTGTAGGGCGTGTGCGCTCGCCAGACAGACAGAGAGAGACATAGAGACAGAAAGCGAGAAATCACCCCCCCGGGGGGATGGTCACGCTGCAATCCCTTCTCCATTCTCCTCTCGGGATCTTGGGCACACACGCACATGCGCCCGGTGTGAGTTTTTTAAGTCACCGGGTCTGGGACACGAACCGCGGTTGACTACGTGGGAGTCCAGCAACATAGCCATTACGCTAACTGCTGGTTCCCTAGTTTCCTTTTTTAAAAAAATTTAAATAATTATTTAATTTTATTTATTCATTTATTTTAATTTGATCAGAGAGAGAGAGAGAAAGGGAAAGTGAGAAAGCAAGCCACTGGGTCTGGGACTTAAATCATGGTCAGCCATGTGGGGAGTGTTCAGCACCTTAACTACCCCGCCACCTGCTAGTCCCCCTGTTTAGTTTCCTTTAACCACAGTTTTTCTTTGTCTTTTATGCCATTTTGGAATTTTTTTTTAAAGAATTATATATTTAATTTTATTCATTCATTCATTCATTTATTTTAATTTGACCAGAGAGAGACAGGGAAAGCAAGAAAGCAAGCCACCAGGTCTAGGACTTGAGCCACAGTTGGACACATGGGAGTGTCCAGCAGCTTAACCATCATACCACCTGCTTATCCCCTGGAGGTTTTTTTTTTTTTTTTTTTAGTATATGTGCTACCGAAGCAAGCACTCCTGGAGCTTTTTTTTTTTAAAGAATTATTTTATTTAACTTTACGTATTCTTTATTCTTCTTCTTCTTCTTTTTTTTTTTTAATTTGACCATAGAGAGATGGGGTAGGGTGGAGAGTGAGAAAGCAAGCCACCAGGTCAGCTGAACCATGATCAGCTATATGGTAGTGTCCAGCGCTTTAACCACCACCGTCTGCTGGTCCCCTCCTGGAATTTTATTTAATAGACTTTTATATATATATATTTTTTAATTTGCTAGAAGGTACATTTGCTCGGCAGTCTAAGATGAGAGAGAGTGGAAGCACTCCCAGCGGGATGTGGTCACACTGCAGTCCTTCTCCTCTCATTCCTCGTAACCCTGTCCCTTCCTGCCTTGGGATGTGAAGAGCAGCCTCACGCAGGGAGCAGTAGTCTCATCTGGGGACAAATTCTAGTCGTCTGCCCCTTGGGAAATACTGGATTAGATGGGATATTACATATGGTGGTTTGTGTTTTAAATGTCTCTATGGACTGTGTACGTCTCACTCTGCACGGCATCCAGTATTTTATTACTTTTTAAATTTTTCCATAGGGCATGTGCACTTGTGTGAGAGAGAGAGAAAACTCACCCCAGGGGTGATGTCCACACCACAGTTCCTTCTCCATCTCCTCGTGGCATCTTGGGCATACACACGTACACACCCAGTGTATTTTTCATGCCACTGGATTTGGGACTCAGCTGTGCGTGGGCTTTGTACAACCCAGCCACCTTAACTACTGTGCCACCAGCCTGCCTTATTTTATTAATTTTTATTTAGAAAGTTTACTTAGAACAAGAGAACTGGCCACATTTAAGGCCAGGGAGAACCTAGTATCTGATAGCATCTGACATTCGCTCCACTCTCACCGACCTCGAGTGTTTCTGAAAGCTGAAAGGTTTTTGTACGTGGGGTATTGGCGACATGAACCTGGCACGTTCTCTGTACCTAAATCATTGACGGTGGCTCGGTCCTGTTGTGTGTTTTTATAACTGATTTCCATGAAGATTTGGGGGCCTTACCTATCAAAATCTTGGTGATACTTTTTTATATTTCTTACTCAGTAAAAGGTATGGAATTCAGATTACAAACGGTTGGGGGAAATTGCAAGTGGTTGAGTCACTGCTCGTATCATTACTAGTAGTGCTTGCTTCTCTTATTTTTTTTTTTACTAGTAATGCATTTTTAATCTGTTTTAAGATAGTCATGCTTTGATATGGCCTTAGGTTCACGTGAAATGGATTTTGGACACTGACATTTTCAATGAATGGATGAATGAGGAGGATTATGAGGTGGATGAGAACAGGAAGCCTGTGAGTTTCCGTCAGCGAGTTTCAACGAAGAACGAAGAGGTATTTCATATGGCACCGTTTCTGACCACTACGTGTTTGTCCTTTCCTGGCCTAAAATGGGAACAGTTCTTTCAGAGTGAACCGTCGCGTGCGAGCCATGGTGTACCAGTGCTTCAGTATGTGGAAGAGCCCCGAGTGGCTGGAGCCGCCGTCAAAGAGAGGCCGGCAATCCCGAAGGGTCGTTAAGATTGAGTGGTCCAAGACCACACGGGAGGCCCAGGTTCCATTCTTAGCCCAAACTAAAGGCCTGGCATGGCAGCTTGTGCCTGTAATCACAGTGCCTTGGAGGTTAGAGCTGGAGGATCCTTATCCATAATAACTCACCTCTCTCCCATCGTGAGGAATGGCGCAATCTCCTACTGCATTTTTAAACTGGCCTGTTACTAGCCGCCCAGATTGTCATGGTTCATGTTTTGTCCATTTTTAGGGGTGTTACATAAGAATTACTTTAATACCCTTTTTAAAACTCTGGCTCCGGGGAGCAGACGGTGCAGTGGTTAGGTCGTTGCACTCCCACATGGCTGAACCCTGCACCTGACCTGGAACTCCTGCCAGGCACGTGCACTTGTTTGCCCAGAATCCTGAGAGGAGCAGAGATTATGGCATGGCCATTCCCCCTGGGGGGTGATTTCTCACTCTCTCTGTCTGTGTACGTGCCCTTTAGCAAAAATCTCTCTTTAAGAAATTTTAAATATATATGTGTTTATATATGTATACAAACACATACATATATTTATATTTACTTACCTTTATTTATAAATATTTGTATTTATATATACCCATACATTTATAAAAGTCAATGAAATGTATTTATACATAGAAGTAAATATAAATATATACGTATATGTATGTGTATATATATAAATAAGTCTGTCTATATATATAAAGTAAATATAAAACTGAGGTTTACCATACTGCTTAAAGCTGTACCGTGTTTAGATTTTCTTTAAAACCACACTTATAGGGGCCAGCAGGTGGTGTGGTAGTTAAGGGCGCTGGACTTCCACATGGCTGACCGCGGATTGAGTTCTGGACCTGGCAGCTTGCTTTCTCACTTTGTGTCTCTCTCTCTCTCTCTCTTTCTCATTCTGTCCTTCTCTGGTCAAAGTAAAGTAAATAAGTCAAGTTAAATATAAGTAATTCTTTAAGGAAAAAACTGCACTTATAAACCTGTAAGGTGCTGACAAATTCCACTGTGATGATAGGAAAGAAAGGACTATGGTCATGGCTGAGAATTTTCAGGTTTTGATCTCCAATTTATTTCCTCTGTGCCTCAGATGCTTTTACCTGATTTAAAACTTGGGGTCATTTTATTTCTTTCTTATTTTTTTGGAGAGGTTTTTGCTATAGGGCATATACGCTCACCAGAAAGACACAGAAATCCAGAAATCACCCCCTAGGGGGGATGACCACACCACAATCCCTTCTCCTCCATTTTCCTCTAGGGTTTGTGAGCTTGGGCACGCACGCACACATGCCTAGCATGAGTTTAAGCCACCAGATCTGGGACTTGAACCGTGGTCGACTACATGGGAGTCCAGCAGCATAGCCATTACGCTAACTGCAGGTCTTGTTACCGATTTGCTTTTAAATGATGTTTTAGTCTTACTCAGTAGCTTTTGTACCATAAAGTTAATCTGTTTTCTTTTCTTTTTTTTAAGTTTATTTATCCGTTTCTTCTGAGAGACAGAGAGGGAGACCACTATAGAAATGATGACGGCATATCACTAACTTTATATAGATAACTGTACCCCGGACCTACTGCCAGCCTAGCTGGTCCAGGTCACAGGGATGCTGCATCTGATCGGCGTGCTCAGGGATGTCTGAAGTGTGAACTTAGAACCTGTCCCATGTGGGACCAGTTGCCTTATTACCAGTTGCCATCTCCTGGCCCTTTTTCTTTTCTTTTTTAAATAGATTCTTGCCATAGGTGCCTGTGCTCACAGAGAAACAGAAAGCAAGAAATCACTCTCCCGATGGGGGATGGTCACACCGCACTCCCTCCTTCTCCATTCTCCTTCCGGGATTTTGGGCTTGCACGCACACACACCTGACATGAGTTTTAAGCTGCTGGTTCCAGGCTTTGAACCACGGTTGGCCATGTAGGTGTCCAGCGACACAACCCTTATGTCATCTGCTGGTCCCCTGACCCATCTTTTATTCTTACTGCTGATTGACATAAGAGTTGTTTCTGTAAAGTACACCTTTACAAGATCAAGTATTTGATCAGTGCACTTGCGTATGCTTTGTATTGTTCTAGTAATTATTAAAAAAGCTTTTTTCCCTGGAGTGCAGTCTGAATCTTCAGTGGTGTGTGGGCATGTTTGTCATAGCATGTCCAAATTCCTGTGGGAGGTGCTGATCATTCCTCTGCTGATGGATTGCCTGCAAGTCCAGGCAGTGTCTCCCCGTTTTGGGGTTCTGGATGCTTGACGGCAGGCGATGCCTTTTATCCGCTCTAGGCTGGTGGGTTTGGTGTTGACCCTTGTGGAAACTCTCCTTCTCACAAGGGTTTATAGAAGCAGAGGAGTCCGTCAAGCTGACTGATGCCTATTTCCACGCGTCTCTTCCTAGCCAGTCCGAAGTCCAGAGAGAAGAGATAGAAAGGCCTCGGCTAACGCTCGGAAGAGGAGGCATTCGCCTTCGCCACCCCCACCCACACCCGCACCCTCCGAGTCCCGGAAGAAGAGTGGGAAGAAAGGGTAAGGCCTGCAGCGTGGTCAGAAGGCACAGACCCCAAAGGACTGGGCGGGGCTGCACACTTAGTGAGAAGTCCCTTTGCAAGCTTGTCTTGTGGTGGGTGATCTTCCGGGCATGTTCTGCTCTGTTGATACAGAGCACCCTGCATACGGTCTGTTTCCTGTATCTAAGCACGCGTTGAGAATCCTGGTTCTTTTCAACTCTAAGGAGTTTAAAAGTTGTATTTATTAAAGCGTCTCTTTGATTTTACCGCTTGTCCCATCTGTGATCAAATTGGCTCAAGGACCTGAGGCATTTGATATTTTCTCTGAAGTGCTACAGCCCAAGCCCAGTGCTTTGTTCAGCGTGACGTGTGTTTACTTACCTTAACTGAATGAGGATTATGTTTACTGTTGAATAGGTTGCTGTGGGGATTAAATGGGACTTTACATTCCTTGCACAGTGCCTGGCCTTGAAGTCCATACCTGTATATGTACTATTAAGTAGATATTACTATTGCATATTAAGTATTGGGTCGTCGGAAAAATCATGATGAATTTCTCTATGTTATTCTGTGCGAAATGTGTTACAGTTTTTCTGATCACCCAATAGCTACTTAATAATTTCAAGTTTTTATTTATTTATTATTATGATTTTCATTATTTTTTATTTTTGCTGTAGGGCACATGCGCTCGCCAGAGAGACAGAGCCATAGAGATAGAAAGCAAGAACTCAACCCTGGGGACTGGCCACACCACAATCCCTTCTCCTCGATCCTTCTCTTGGGGTCTTGGACATGTGTGGATGCACATGTGCCAGATATGAGCTTTAAGTCACTGGGTCTGGGATTTGAACCATGGTCAACTACATAGGAGTCCAGCAACGCAACTGTTACACCATCTTTTGGTCCCTATTTATTGATTTATTTTTAAGAGAGTTGGGTTTTTTTTTGTTTGTTTTTTTGGTTTTTTTGAGAAGTTTTCGCTTCAGGGCGCGTGCGCTCACCAGACAGATAGAGAGAGACATAGAGACAGAAAGCAAGAAATCACCCCCCAGGGGGGATGGTCACACTGCAATCCCTTCTCCTCCATTCTCCTCTCGGGATCTTGGGCACGCACGCACACACGCCCGGCGTGAGTTTTAAGCCACCGGGTCTAGGACGCGAACCGTGGTCAACTACATGGGAGTCCAGCAACATAGCCATTACGCTAACTGCTGGTTCCCTAAGAGAGATTTCTTTTGCTATAGGGCGTGTGTGCTTACCAGAACGACAGACAGAAAGTGAGAAATCACCCCTTGGGCTGATGGCCATGCTGCAGTCCTTTCTCCATTGTCCTTCTGGGATTTTGGGCATACACACACATATGCACCCAGTGTGTTTTAAGCTCTTGGGTCTAAGCTTGAACTGTGTTGCCTGCATGGGAGCCCACTGACATAACTGTTATGCCACCTGCTGGCCCTAATAATTTCGGGTGTGACCAGCTCAAAATACATTTCATGTAATTTTGCAGAGGTTGAGAAACTGGGGCCAGAACTCAAACTGTGTAGTTGGCTTTGTGGAATCCAGTGTTCGTAACCACTAGGCCGTGGGGCTTTATTTATTTATTTTAAGCTAGCTAGATAGGATTTGTGGAACTTGTCTAATTTGTTTAATGTGCACATGATTTTAAGTATAGATGCTTGCAGTGATGAAGATAGAGTCTCAAATTGCTGTAAGCATGTAGTCACTGTTGGTCATACTTTATGTACCTGTATGTTGTAGACAAGCCAGTCTCTATGGAAAGCGCAGAAGTCAGAAAGAGGAGGATGAGCAAGAAGATCTTACCAAGGACATGGAGGACCCGACACCTGTGCCTAACATAGAGGAAGTAGTGCTTCCCAAAAATGGTTTGTATTTTTCTGTATGAGAGTATTAGACATAATGTGTCCTCCTTTTCTTTTTAAAATTATTTTAACTTTATTTATTTGCTTACTTGTTTTAATTTGACCAGAAACAGACAGAGTGAGTGAGAGGGAAAGTGACAAAGTAAGCCACCAGGTCTGGGACTCAAACCACAGTCGGCCATGTGGGAGTCCGACGCCCTTAACCACCACGACACCTGCTGCCCTCCCCCCCATTTTCTTTTAAGATTTTTTGCCATAGGGCACATGTGCTCACCCAGGTAAAGTGAGAAATCGCCCACCAGGGTGATGGCCACACTGCAGCCCCTTGTCCTCCTAGGCTCTTGGGCAGGTATACACACCCACCTTTACAACACAGTTTTATTGGGGGCTAGAAGTTAGCGGTTTAAGATATGTAAACTGAGTCATTATAGTTGCTAGTAGTTTTTTGTTTTTTCACTACAGAAATGGCATTATAAAGGAAATTAGGACTTCATCATTAGAAGTCCTAATTTGTTGAATTACAGTTTTCTCAAAACATAGTCTAAGATGAAGAAGGATTGTTGTAAATTACTTCATGAGGTGTTTTATTCTATGGAGATTAAAAATAACGAAAAAACAGTATAGGGTTTAGACTAAAATACATTCTTTTTTTATTATTATTTTTTATTTTTGTTTTGCTAGAGATCACACGTGCTTGCCGGAGAGCGAGGAGGAAGCATCCCCACGGGGAATGGCTCTGCCTCACTGCATCCGCCCTCCTTTCTGGGTTGGGAGCGTGCACACACACTCATCGTGTTTGACAAGCCCCCAGGTCCCAGACTTGAACTGTACAGTCCGCCACGTGGGCCATTGCCTCTCACAGGCCACGGAGCCAGCCCTAGATTGGAAAGTAGTCTACGCATGTAGCCAGCTAGCTGCTCTGAGTTTGGTGCAGTGCCAGAACAGAGTGCTTTGTTGGGGAGAGTGAGCATTTATCCATGCAGGTGGAGGGTGGCGGTTTCTGTGTTGTCGTCGTTCTTTTTCAGGTCGTGCCAGGTCGTAATCCTTTTGGCCCAGCTTCCCCCCTTAGCTAGGACCACTGGACCACTGTGCAGTACACACCGAGTCTGTCCAGCAGTAACAGCAGTTGATAAAAGAATCGCCATGGGGCTCTGGGCACAGTCATGAGGGCAGAAGGGATGATACCGAAGAGGCAAGGCTCCGCAGCCTTTTTTTTTTTAATGAGAGATTTTTGCCTTAGGGTGTGTGTTTGCCAGAGAGACAGAAAGCGAGAAATCATTCCCTTCCCTGGCCCTCCCTCCCAAGATGGCCGCATCACAATCCCTTCCCATTCACCTTTTGGTATTTTGGGCACCTGGCATGAGTTTGAAGCCGCCAGGTCCAGGATCTGAAGTGTGGTCAGCCAAATGGGAGTCTAGCAAGGTGACTATTCTGCCATCTGCTGGTCCCATTGTGGCTCATCAGCTTTTGTTTGTGTGCTTTGTTTTGGGCTGCTGTGTTTCTAGTCATAGCGAAAGCCCCGAGGGTAACACGTGAGCGTGACAGGTGCCCGGGGTCGGCCTATGCAGTTCTTGATCTCAGGATAGAGACAGACGAAGGCAGGCATATGAGGAGAATCTGTGCTCGAGGAAACAAGCCTAAAGATGAGTACCTTAGAGGAAGGACTGAAAGAATGTTTGCTGCTGGGTAGTGAAGCTTTGAAAAAGCTTAGTTTCCGCTAGGATAGAACTAACCAGCCTGTGGTCCACTCCCCTTGCAGTGGACCTGTGAGAAAAGAGAAATGTAGTAACTCGGAGCCCTTAGACGAAATGAACCAAAGGCACACTGCGTTACTCGGCGAAAGGTGAGGTAGGGGGAAAGAACAAGGGTAGCGTGCACGGCGCTTACGTGAGGTTAGAAACCCAGGCTGTCCGCTGGAGTCCCTGTGGGCATAAGGAAAGGTATCAGGCCCTCAGATCGTCAGTCCAAGTGGCACGGAGACGGAATCAACACAAATGTACTATAGGGCGTGTGCGCTTTTGTTGGAGAGACAGAGATAGAAAACCAAGAAATAACCACTCCACAATCCCTTCTCCATTCCCCTCTCGGGATTTGGGGCACGCATGCACACACTCCCAGCATGAGTTTCCAGCTGCTGAGTCCGGGACTGAAGCCCTAGTCAGCCACGTCTGAGTCCAACAACATTACCATTAAGCCATCTGCTGGTCCCCAAAAACCTCTTTTTTAAAAAAAAGCAAACAGTTGTGAAAGGGATGAAAAGGTATTTTTTCATGTTTTTCTCTAGATATTTCTATGTTGATTACGTTCCTTTCCCCTTTTTTTTGAAAGGTTTTTTTCTATCGGGCGCGTGTGCTTGCCAGAAAAAGACAGAAAGAGAGAAACCACACCCCAGGGGGATGGCCACGCTAGAATCCCTTCTCCTCCGTTCTCCCCTGGGGATTTTGGGCACACACTCAGCGTGAGTTTAAGCCACTGGGTCCGGGACTCGAACTGTGGACTATTACATGGGAGTCCAGCAGCATAGCCATTACGCCATCTGCTGGTCTCCCTATGTTGATTACTTTTATGATGAAAATATATTGCTGCTTTTGTGATTAATTATGGAATCTAATCTGTCGTGTGAAGTGTTACGAATGTCTCATAGCCGGGCTTGTGGTTTTTACTTGAAGGCAAGTAGTGAATGATGTTAGAGTTGTAATTAGATGTGTGTATCTTAAAATCATGTGCAATTTTGTTTTTAAAAGCAAGTAGACATTTTCCCCTGAAACATGATTTTGTGGGTTTTTGTTTGTTTCTTCTAGTAAACCCAAAGAAGGATAGTGAAAATACACCTGTTAAAGGAGGAACTGTAGCTGATCTAGGTAAAACCCCCTAATTGCATACATTCTGTTTTTTCTCTGGAAGTTTCAGCTGCTCTGCAATCCTCCCCTTTCTTTGCTGAGAGTGGCTGCCGTTCATGCTTGTGCTCACAACCCCGGGGTGTTCATCGTGTCTCCCTTAGGGCTGTCGTGATTTGGCTTGTTACATAGATGCTCTGTCGGGCACTCGCTAAACGTTTCAGGCCCCCAAATGGAAAACAAGTGTTCATTACATGCCATGTTTGCATCAGTAGCCTAGACTCAGCAAATTGCCCGTTTCATCCACTAAGTGTCTGCCCAGGAGTATGCTGAGGGTCAGCTCCCAGATTTCATACAATTGGAATTCCAGGCTCCATACACAGTCTGGCAGTGGACACGTTCGGCCAGTGGGCTGTAGATTCCCCATGCTGCCTGGTCTAACCAGCTTTTACATTTCTTTTAAAATTGCAGGTTCTTGGGACTATTTGTTCAAGGACTAAGTGAAGGAAAGATTGACTTCCCCATAGTCTTTTTGAACTTTATAATGCCTTCGGTATTACCAGGGGTCACCATAAAGAGTTTTTTTGTTTGTTTGTTTGTTTGTTTGAGAGGTTTTTGCTACAGGGCGCGTGCGCTTGCCTGACAGACAGAGAGACAGAAAGCGAGAAATCACCCCCCGGGGGGGATGGTCACGCCGCAATCCCTTCTCCTCCATTCTCCTCTTGGGATCTTGGGCACGCACGCACACGCGCCTGGCGTGAGTTTTAAGCCACCGGGTCCAGGACGCGAACTGCGGTCGACTACGTGGGAGTCCAGCGACATAGCCATTATGTTAACTGCTGGATCCCAAAAAGAGTTAAATTTTATAGTAATGTATTATTATTTGTGTAGTAGTCTCTTTTCCATGTTGACAGTTTTGCTTTTCACTGTAGAAACCACCTGCCTAGTTTACTTTTTTTTTTTTTTTTTTTTTTGAGGGGTTTTTTCTGTAGGGCGGCTGTGCCAGAAAGACAGAGACAGAGAGATAGACAGAAAGTGAGAAGTCACCCTCCTGGAGGGATGACCACGCCACAATCCCTTCTCCATTCTCCTCTTGGGGTCTTCGGCGCACACACACATGCACTCGGCGTGAGTTTAAGCCACCAGGTCCGGGACTCAAACCACAGTCAACTCTGTGGGAGTCCAGCGACATAGCCATTACGCCGACTGCTGGTTCCCCGAGTTCACATTTATGCGGGTGTTTTCCGTGTTCTTTCACAAGGCCAGTTCTCAGGTCCTGACTCCCTGATCAGAACGCCGTGACACTGTCGCCAGGCCTTTGTGATTGTGCCCCCTTTCTTTACTGCTCTTTTTCCCTCTCTCCATGTATCATTCATTCATTTTGCTATAGGGCACATGTACTTGCCAGACCAGAGATGGGGAAGTAGGAGGGGAGGAGTAAGAAAATGCCTCCCAGGGGGGAGAGTCGCACTGAAATCCCTTCTCCATTCTTTCTTCGGGATTTTGGGCACATGCGCTCGCTCGCTGGCGCACTCTGCGTATGTTTCAAGCCATCGGGTTCAGGACTGATCTGTGGACTTGGCCGTGGTTCCGGCCATCTGGACTACCACGCCACGTGGTTCCGGCCATCTGAGCTACCACGCCACCTGCCGGCCCGTACTGCCCCTTCCCTTTTCTCGGAGAGGTTTTTGCTATAGGGCACGTGCGCTCACCAGACAGAGCCAGCGAGAAATCACCCCCTGGGGGGATGGCCACGCCGCAGTCCCTTCTCCTCCGTTCTCCTCTTGGGATCTTGGGCACACACGCGCCCAGCGTGAGTTTTAAGCCACCAGGTCCGGGACGCGAACCGCGGTTGACTTCGTGGGAGTCCAGTGACAGCCATTACACCAATTGCTGGTCCCACTGTCCCTTTCTTTACTCATTTCCTTTGGAATCTAAACTGTCATTGCTCTGAGGAAACCTCAGGTGGCAAGAGCCCCAGCGTCCCTTCCCTGTTAGTGATCTCGCTCGTGTCTGTAGCGGTAGCTCGCGCCACAGCCGAGTACGCAGTCCCTGTCGTGGGGCCGTCCAGTTACCTGCGCTCTAGTCCCCACTCGACTCTGGGCCGCTCTGTTAATATCAGCTCACTGTGGCATTCAGGGTGGTTTGCATTAGTAACGCTCCATTTCCTTCCTTGTCTCTGTCAAGTATTAGTTCTTAGGTTGTAAAGATTCCAGATAATCCAAAAGCATTTACCTGTTTTTTAAAAAAAAATTCCATGTTTTGACTTTCCAGATGAGCAAGATGAAGAGACAGTCACAACAGGAGGAAAGGTAATGTCTTAATTTGGCCTGCTGTGCACTGAGCAGTGGAAACATAGGCTTGGAAGTATCCTCAGAAATCTTTGACTCTTCTCATTTTATTTTCTTTTTGAAATTTGGCCCCAAATACTTGTCTTCCTCGGCCCCCAAATTTTTACTGAGAAAATTTCCATCTTTCCAAGTTATGTCTGTCATCTGTGATTTCTGTGGCTGGAAGGTTATCAGAGCCAACCCTGGGACTCCAGTGTTGCCTAAGCTACCAGCACACTGGGACCACACGTGGCCTTGCTGTCGTCCCCTACCCGCCAGTGCAGGCTCACCCCGCAGTGCGCAGGGACCACGCATGGTCTCGCCGTCCTTCCCTAGCCGCTAGTGCAGCCTCACCCTGCGACCAATGGCAGATCATGCTCTTGACCTCCCTTGAGCCAACAGCCATCTCCTTCCTGTTCCAGCAGTTCTGCTGTGGTGGCGCATGTCATTGGGCTGAAAGGTGTTAAATTTAAGTTGAGATTTTACTTTCAAAAACGAGACCCATCATTTCAGCCTGTGTGGTTCTTGTTTTTGTTATAATTTGCTAGAGGGCGTATGCGCACACTGCTGAGTATGGGGCCCGTGAGAAAGCGCCCCCTTCCCGGGATGGTCACGCTGTAGTCCCTTCTCCATTCTAGATTTCGGTCACACACAGATGCAGCTAGCGTGTTCTGTAAGCCACGGGACCCAGGACTTGAACTGTGCAGTTGGCCGAGTGGGATTCAGCTGCTTTAACCACTGTGCCGCTGAACTCGTTTTAAGTAGTAATGGAGTGGATTAGGAGTATAGCCCTCTACTGGACTTCCTGGATTTTTTTTTTTTTTTTTTTTTTTTTTTTTTTTTTTTTTTTTTTTTTTTTTTTTTTTTTTTTTAGTTTTTTTTTTAGTTTTTTTTAGGCTTATTCATCCCTCCCATGAGAGATAGAAGAGGGGGGGACAGGCAGGCTTCCCCCATAGGGTCCTCACACCACCATCCACTCCCCGGTCCTAGCTAGTCCAGATCACAGGCATATGGAAGTGACCAGCGAACTCAGTGAGACCCCAGGACACACGCCCACAACCTGAGTCTGGTGTGTTACCACTGCACCACTGCCTGGTCGCTGTTTGTCTCTGCATTGTCTCTTCACAGAAGAGAGGAAAGATAGTACCTGCCGTTATCAGATGGTCGTGCGGATTGAATGAGATCATGCACGAATGGCCCTTAGCAGATGCTCAGGGCTCAATGTTTGGTAGAGGTTATTTTGTAGTCACCTTGGTTTATTGCCTTATAGCTACCTTGAGTGGTAGTAAGTTGTATTTGTGACCTGGGTTTAGCTAACACTGTATAAGTAAGAAGCAAGCTGTTGTGGGAAGAGACTCGGGCTATGAGTGAATTTCTGAGACTAGGCATAGGCTTTTTTCTTTTTGAGAGAGAGATTTTTGCTATAAGGTGCATGCACTAGCCATAGAGACAGACAGCAAGTAATCACTTCCCAGAGGGATGGCCACACCACAATCCCTTCTCCATTCTCCTCTCAGCATTTTAGGCGCCCACGCACCCACACTCAATGTGAGTTTTAAGCCACTGGGTCCGGGAATGATTAGAAATTAGGATGATTTTCTGATCATTTTATTTTAATTATTTTATTTAATATTGTTATTAACTTTTTTAAAAGTTTGCTATAGGGTACATGTGCTTACTAGAGAGAGAGAAAGGGAAAGTGAGAAAGCAAGCCCCCAAGTCTGATACTCAAACCACAGTCACTCATGGGGGAGTCCAACGCCTTAGCCACCACGCCACCTGCTGGCCTCGTATTTTCCAATCTTTAAAAGAAAAGTGTTTTTCTTTATGATAGAGAGCACGCACACGAGAGAGAGAGCTTCCAAGTGGCTCCTTCCAGGTGCATGTTCACACCACAGTGCATCTGCGCCAGTCCTGCCCGTCAACCGTATGTGCTCTGGCGTGTACCTGGCGTAGTCATGTTCACACCGTCATCACCATGTGGGTGCCAGCTGCTCTGGAGCAGGCTCCATTTCTTGATCTCGTTTTAAGATTCGTACCTTCCTTGAGTTGCTTTTCTCATCTCTGCAAAGGGGAAATAACTTGCTAAGTCAGTTGGTGATCTTGTCCCTTAAATAGTGTCAAAGGTAGTTTCTACTTGAAATGTGGCTTCCTAGTCCTTGAAATCAGCTCAGCTAGCTCTGTTGTATCAGGCTTCCCCGAAATGCAGGAGCTGTTCTGTGTGCTTGCAGTCCCTCACTGACGCAACTGCTTTTCCGCAGGAAGATGAAGACCCTGGCAAAGGCGATCAGAGTCGGCCGGTTGACCCTGGGGAGGATAACGTGACGGAGCAGACCAACCACATCATCATCCCCAGCTACGCATCCTGGTTCGATTATAACTGGTGAGTTGGCCGCGGCTGTGAGCATGGGGCTGGTGATGGAGGCCCGTGCCCTGTACCAGATGGTGCTGCTCTGCTAGCCCCTGCTCAGCAGTTAACAACCCGCGGGCTGGAGTGACATGGAGAGCGAGTTCTGTTGTTGGAGTCTGCTTTTCAGAACAACTTCAGGGTGGAGTCTACGTGTGTGATAATGCAGGGTTACATAATTTTGTAAGCTTGAAACAAAGACTGACTTCTCTACGAGACACCATTTTCAGGTCACTGCATGGGACGGTGTCTGTGCTGCAGTGATACCCTCCACCCGCCCATCCAGCTGCAGTTTGAATCTTGCTCAGGGCGGTCGTGTTACCGTTCTTTAAGGAGACGCGCGGTTTAAGGAGACACGCAGTTTAAGAACGAAGGTCTTTGCTCTTTCCTGTGCCCTTCCGAGGTTCATGCTGTGCTTTAAGAGGTTAACACAGAAGGTAAAGTAAGTCTCTGTGAATTCCACAGAAGAGATAGTAAAACTGCTCTTGGGATCCTGTCTGGAGTCAGAGCTCAAAAATAGAAAGAGTTGGGGCTATCAGTGGCAAGGTGGTTAAGGGTGCTACTCCCCCATGGCCGACTATGGTTCGAGTCCCCGACCTGGTGGTTTGCCTTCTCACTGTCTCTTTCTCTTCCACGTTTACTTTCTCTCTCACTCTCACTCTTTTCTATAGTCCAAGTTTTTAATTTTTTCAAAAGTCCATCTTTAAGAACCAGCAGATGGTGTAATGGTTACATCACTGGACTCCCATGTGGTCAACCATGGTTCGAGTCCCTGACCCAGAGCCTTAAAACTCACTCTGAGTGCATGTGTGCCTAAAAACCCAAAAGGGGAATGAGAATGGAGGAGAAGGGACTATGGTGTGGCCATTCCCCCGGGGAGTGATTTCTTGGTTTCTCTCTCTCTGTTCCTCTGGCAAGCACACGTACCTTATAGCAAAAATCTCTTTTTTTAAAAAAAAATCTGTCTTCGTACACTGATTATTATATTTAATTATTATTTTAAGTTTGGAAGTATCTCAGTACTTGCAGTTTCCTGCTTAAGTCAAAAATTTAAAACTCAAGGTTTTTCTTTTTTTTCCTAATAAAATTGTTTGTATATATTTTAATGTAACCATCAGCTAATCTGTTTTCCCTTTTTATTATTTAATTTTTATAGGTGCCATGTGCACTTGCTAGAGAGTTTGAGAAGGGACGGGGGGGCGGGTAGGGTAACAACCAGGGGCAGTTCATCCTCCTCTGTCTCCCCTTCCTCCTGGGGTTCTGTGCATGCATCTGTACCCAGCCTGCTCTCAAATTGCCAGGTCTGGATCTTGAACTGCATGGTTGGCCATGTGGGGTCCAGCTGCCTTAACCACCAGGCCGTAACGCTGACCCCATTTTTACTTTTATTAAACAAACAGTAATGTATGTCATATGCTAACTAGTAAGTAGTGAACTGTCTTTTTAAAAAGGATCATTTATTTAATTTTATTTATTCATTCATTTAATTTGACCTGAGAAAGACAAACACACAGAGAGAAGGACAGTGAGAATGCAAGCTACCAGGTACGGGACTCGAACCGTGGTCAACCACGTGGGAGTGTCCAGCGCCTTAACCACTCACTACACCACCTCCTGGCCCCAGTAAACTGCTTTTAAAAAACATATTCTGCCTTTGGAAGCACTGCTGGTATTTTAAATTACAAAATAGTGAAGTTTTTGTGTATTCAAATTCATGTGTCAGATGGCTTAAGAGGACCTATGGGAAATTAACATTGTACTAAATTAGAAAAGGAAAAATAAGAACTGTACCAAGTGTATTGCTTTGTAGGATTTAATATGTGACGGAAGTGCGTTCGTTTGCACGATTCCATACGTGTTTTGCAGTGCCCGTTACGGTGTGGACAGTGGAGTTAGTAGCTGTATCTCCGTGTTACAGCTGGCTTAACTGCCCCCTCACCTGAAGTAGCCCCCAGTCAGAGCTGAGAACCAGACGAACTGCAGTCCTCTGATTCTGCAGACCTTGCTTCCTTCACTCCGTGTCCGTCCTTGAGTGTTTCATCCTGAGAACCCAAGAAAGCACCTGCCAGCAGTTCAGGCGTAACTTTGGAAAAAGAACGCGCTTGGGTTAAACATTTTTGTATATTTTATTCTTTTTTGAAAATCTTATTTATTATTATTTAATTTGACCAGTGAGAGAAAGAGAGAAAGTAAGAAAGCAAGCTGTCAGGTCCAGGACTCAAACTGCAGTCGGCCTTGTGGGAATCCAGCACCTCCAACCACCATGCCACCTGTTGACCCTGTGTATTTTATTCTTGATGAATACAGAAAATTTTTTCCATAGGCTCTTTTCAACCTGTTACAATGGAAAAGCTGGGACTGCGAAATAGAACTATGTAATCAATTGCTTACGGCGATCCTTTTCATAGTAAAACTTAGGAAGTCATACGATGTATTTCTCTGTAGCATAATTCATCTTAGAAATTGTTGTCTTAGAAGTTTTCAGGTAATCCCTTGTGTATGTAGTATTTCACAATGTAGATCAAATTATCACCAAGTTATAAACAAGTCAACAGTTTTAGTTCTATCTAGTGACTGACAATTTACTCTCACATGTGACCAGTACTGACAGCATGTCTGGAACACCACTGAGAACTGAAATACCATCTGGAAAAAAAAACATTGCTTCGCATTAATTTAAAACTTGGGGCTAGGTGGAGTCCCGTGGCTGGGCGGTGGCTCCCACACGGCCAGTCGCAGAGAGGGAACCCCGACCCTGGTTACATGGAGACGGCTGGGCCTGGGTGTTCACGCCTGCAATACCAGTGTGGTGGAGAGGTGGATGGGAGGGGATACTGCCACCCCACATGGGCAGTGGTTCATCTTTCTCCCTCCTGTCTGTCTCAGTAAGTGCATGTGCCCGCTGGCAAATAAATGAAAACACAGAGGAACCTGGAACTATATTCAGCTGGTCCACTTGTATGTTAGGTTTGTTTGTTTGTTTGTTTATTTATGAAGAATTATTTAATCTTATGTATTGTCACTATTTTATTGAAGTTGACCAGAGAGAGAGAGAGAAGGAAAGTGAGAAAGCAAGCCACCAGGTCTGGGACTTGAACTGCAGTCAGCCATGTGGGACTTCAGCTGCCTTAACCACCATGCCACCTGCTGGACTAGGCCTAATTATTTAACATAGTCTCTACAGTGCTTATGGCCTGAAACCTTTTATGAAATTAATCAGTTTTTATATAATAATAATTAGTTCTATGATCTCATGAAAAGAACTCTATCTCTGAAATTAAAAAAAAGAAAGAAATCAATCAATTCCCTGCAGTGTTTCTGAGGGATGGGCAAAGGCACGTTGATAGGAGACTCAGAAGCAGATGATGACAAATTCCCTTGCCCTCGAGTTGGTCATTTGTTTCATTAGATCATTGCTACGTCAGCTTCTTCACTTTTTGTTAATTTCCAAAGAACTCATCTTAGGGCTCATTACCTAGTCATGGTGCGTTATGACAAGAGAATAATGAAATGTGTCGCTTGCAGTGTGGTTACAGAAGTTCTCAGGTTTGGATATGGGATAGAAAGCCCACAGGAAGCACTGGCGGTGAGAAAGGGACAGCTTTGACTTTACACTGTTAATATTACAGCCTGTGCAAACCAGTTCACCTCAACACGCAGTGCTGTTTGTGGATTTACGCGTCTGACTTTACAGATCAAACTAGCGTAGCTCGTTTTATGATCTCCTTTTTTCTTCCTAAAGAAGAACCCCCCATCTTCCTTTTTTTTTCCCCAGTATTCATGTGATTGAACGGCGCGCTCTTCCTGAGTTTTTCAACGGGAAAAACAAATCCAAGACTCCAGAAATGTGAGCCCAGAGTTTCAGAAACTTGGTTCTGTCCAGTGTGTGGGAGGGTCTGTCGTGGCTAACGCCGCCCGTTCAGAATGGTGTCTGGGTCTCGTTGCACAGCATCAGCGCTACAGAGGAAGTCGTTTCTACTCTTTCAACGATAGGTACCTCAGTTCTAGAAGCTGAAGGTTGGATTCAGTAATGGCTGTTCACTAAGAATGCATTCAGGCTTTTCCCAGTACCTCCCTCTGTGCATGCATTGTGGACCGTATGTATTCCTGTACTGTATTCTAGCAGAAAACGAAGTCTTCATTTCCCTGATGAAACATTGCTAGTGAAAAGAACACTAGGTATGATGATACAGGTGAATTAAGCTTAATGATGCATCAAGTATTTTCTTTGGAAATAGAGAAACTTATATTGGAAGGATGAAGTTCGTCAGCAAGTATTTTTTCTTGCTGATCTGTCATTATGCACATTGGGAAATCCTTCTTTTTGAAATAAACCCACACCTGTCACACTACAGATGCCTTCCAGGTATACCTTCACGGTGTTGATCTCTGCGTCGTATACATGTGATGGCACAGAGTTCTCATTTTAAACTGGTGGGGAGGAAGTGACCTCTAATTTCCCACATAAGATATGTGATGTGACAGATAATCGAATCACATTTTCTGGTTGTCGTTTGTCCATAGTAATTCGAGATTCTCAGTTTAAATGTCAAAGACAGTTTTACTCTTCCCGTAGCAAAGCTATAGGAAATCGCTTAAAACCCAAATCACAGATTCGGCAGAAGAAGCTCTGGTAGTTTTCTGGTTAATCAGACGTGGTACATTCTTCCGTGGAAACTAGAAACGAGCTGCGGCAGCTTCCAGAGCCTCCACGCTGCCTGTCGTACTCCAGCCTTCTAACCTGCTCTGCGGGCCAGGGCGAGCTCTGTAACTTCTCATCTGTAAGCAAGGTGCCGGTGGCCCTGCCTGCTACGGCCGTGAGAGGTAGTTAACTGAGGGGCGGCAGAGTGCTGCACCCGGCGCCCCGCACTCGGGACACGCAGGCAGAAGGCAGGTGGGCGCAGAACCCCGTGCTGGCTGCACACAGTCGGGGGCTTTCCGTTCACCTGTGACCCAGTTTGTGT